CCGGTAATAATCCTACATGTTTCGTTAAGTGCTACATCCACTTGCTTAGTGTGCGCAGACCGACACCAGACTGGGCTAGCGAATTCGCCAGCAGAGTAGGATAGCGCAAGTCCAGTTGTTCGCAGGACTTCTGGCGCAGCTCCCCACTTTGTCGAGATTAGTTTGCGTAGGAGGTTGTTGCGAGTGCCTACTTTGCGCCTGATGTTGTCGCAGTTTGGCCTGAATGTTAAGGCCCTGTCAAGTATTACCCCTAAGTATTTAGGTTGACTGCTATGTGCGATAGGGATGCCTTGCCAAGAGATGTTTAGAGAGCGGCGTGCTTGTTTATTTCGGAGATGAAACACGCAGGACTGAGTCTTGGAGGGGTTAGGCTTAAGGGAATTATCCTTATAGTAGGTAGTTAGATCCTCTAAAGCTCCTGAGATTGTGTGTTCGACCGCCTCAAAAGAATCACCCTGCGATGCTAGTGCGAGGTCATCAGCATAGATGAAACGAGATGTACCAGGGCTAAGCGGCTGATCATAAGTGTAGATGTTAAATAAGGTAGGAGCTAACACGCTACCTTGAGGCAGACCGTTCTTTTGGTTTCGCCATCTACTTTTGTCCGAATGAAGGTGGACTTGAAAGCGGCGGTTGGAAAGAAGTTCGCCTAAGACCCTCACAAACTGCTGATCACCTGTAATATTCCCTACCTTCCACAACAGCCTTCGGAGGTTAACCGTGTCGTATGCGGCAGATAGGTCCACAAACACTACACCAGTTAGCTTGTTGACCTCAAACCCATCCTCAATAAATTGTGTGAGCTTCAGAGTTTGATTGCTACATGACTTACCAGGCCGGAAACCTGCTTGCTCGGGTATGAGTTCGGGGTCAACAACCTTAACTAGGCGGTCTAGAAGCAGCCTCTCAAAAAGCTTATATGTGTGGCAGAGAAGGGATATTGGTCGGTAGCTTTTCGGATCATTTGTGGGCTTGCCTGGTTTAAGTATAGCTGTTATTTTAGATTTCCTCCATAAACGTGGGATTTTGGCGCTCTCGAGACATGCGTTAAACATTTGAAGCAGCCAAGACACTGCGACAGGGCCAAGATGCTTCAACTGTTCAACGCATATATTATCCTCGCCTGCTGCTTTGCCCGTTTTGAGGTTCTTGATTCCAGCTTTAATTTCAGAGAGACTGAAAGGCTTACAAATAGAAACAGAGCAGGTGCTGGGGAGCTGTTTTGGTGTTTTGTTTAGTCTATGGGACGGTTTTCCGTTGAGCAGAAGTTGATGGGCTATTTGGTTAGCACTGACTTGACCAGGGGCTGAAGATGAAGGAGGTTCGTCCGTTAGTTTCCTGAATGTGGACCAAGCTTTTTTGCTATTGTGCCTCATATCAATTTCGGTTACAGTGTTTATCCATTTTTCACGCCGGTTATCGCTTACTTTTTGGAGCAGCTCTTCACCCTTTGCAATTGTTTCTTCAGAGAATGGGTTCGCATGGTAAAGCTGTTCGTAATGCTCCAAAAGCTTTGAAGACTCTGTGTTCAGTCCAGGAATGTATTGTGAACGACAACCTCGCGGGATGCATTGGCGGGATATCTCGGACACGGTATCAACAAACTTGTCATAGTTGTGAGGGGAGGGAGAGATGTCTAATAGCGCCCTATCAATGTTGTTCGTGAAGTCTTCCAAGTTTGCTTTCGCGAAGTTGAAGCGGCGTTTGAAAGGAACCATAACTGGGCGGATAGCAGCGTTTATCTGACACATTATTGGTCGATTTTGCGTCCTTGGAATTGGGTCGCACACTTTCTTTGAGCATCTGGGGCTGACGTTGGCGCTGGTAAAAAGCAGATCTGGGTTATACCCACGTTTCCAGCGGGAGCTGTTAAAGGATGCTGGTTGTTTGGCATCGTGAGATAGGACCAGGTCATTTGCGTCTGCCCATTCCTCTACTGCGTGACCAGCCGGATCTGTAGCTTGATAACCCCAGTTTGTGGAGTGACTATTGAAGTCACCAATTATAATTTTTGTCTGGTGGTTGTCAAAGTTTTCCGGCTTTCGAAATTCGAATGGAGTTCCAGGTGGTTTATAGATAGAGGTCACAGTGCAGTTTCCGAGGTCTAACGTGATGATCTCTACAGAATTTACGTTTGAGCAGTGTGCTGATATGATATTTAAGCCGGGAGCAGCAAACACCAACCGCTTATTATGACGTAGTTACAGACCGTAGCAAAGAGGATATAAATAAAACTAGCGTGACCGTAGTTTAGTTTTCATACAAAATTCTTGAAAAATGGTCGACTATCTTTGGGATACACAGACAAATGAAACCTTCGGGGACCGCGAATGACGTTTTGGTTCTCTGTGGTCGGATATAATGACTCGGTTATAGTGACATGTCGGTTATTATGACCCATTTTTTAAATTATATCCGGTTTTAATGACTGACATGACTCTAAACGACGAAACCCTGTGAAAAAATGACATCTATTACGCCGAAAAGCATTTACGATTGAGAAAAAAAGGTCCAATAATATGCAGATTATAAAGTCGAGAATTAAACTCAACAGTATAAGCGATGGTCATACATGTAAAGGGTTGGGTCATTCGTCATACAACCTACCTTTTGTATGACGTCCGCTTATAATGACGTGTTTATCAATTCCCTTTAATGTCATTATAAACGGATTCTACTGTACTTTGTAATAGCGGAATATAACGAAACATTAATTGGAGGAGTTCTATTGATTAGATCTTAACTTTTTCTTCTGAAGAAATAAAACGCATATAACCGCGGGAGTTTTCAAAACTTTTTTGCAACTTTGCCATACTCAACAATCTTGTCCAAACAGGGAACGCTGCTGTCCATTTCCTTGATAATTTTATCCCTTAGTCGGTTTTAAGAATTCAAGAAAACTCCAAATCACGATCAAGATAATAATTTAATAACTTATTTCTTAGATTACAATGATGTCATACATCGAATACATTTAAAACACCACATCTAATTAAACGGCATGTCCTTAACATACGAAACTGACTGCGAGAATCCTCTAAGGGCCGAAGGAACTCCTAAGGATAGAAGCTTCAGATTTCCAGCTTCGGCGAAATAATTAGCTTTCATAAGTTTATCAATGGCCCATTGCGCCGTATAGGGTGAATTCGGTTTGCCGTCAGAGGAATCTTGCCGGATGAGATAGTTTGTAATACCGGAGTAAAGCGGGGTCGACACTAGGTCTAAAAACATTCCTTTGTTGAGGAGTTCTATTATTAGATCGTCTTCTATGTCTTGCTTGAGTATTGCGTCCTGTAATGGAAGAATAAAATTTAAGTTAGTTAAATATACAAATAATTATCTGAACATTGAGGTTAGTGCGCTCTCGAAAGCACTTGCATTTAGAACTAAGTATTTAACCTACCAAAGTACTTAGATAGAAAATTAGAAAATTGAAAAATTCACTAGCGACCGCGGGGACTTGAACCCGGGACCGTGGGGTACCGTCCCACCACCGCTCTGCCAACTGAGCTACGGGCGCCTGGTGGACCCTGGTGAATTTCTCAACTTCTTGATGCTAGTGAATTTTTCAATTTTCTTATTTTCAATTTATAAGAGTAATATTGCACTGTAAGTGGATTAAAGATCCCAATACAAAGTAAGTACTTAGATATTTAAAAATACAAAAAACTTTTTTAAAGTTTAGTAATATATCTACCTACTATTTATTATCATCGGGTCGTTGAACGACTCGGTGTCCCACACGAAAAGAAGATTTATTATCATCATAACATTCGAAAATTATTTAAAGAATAACGAACCTTGTGTGCGTTGACCAATTTGACAATATCCGCCTTGCTGTGTTCGCCGTTGTTGAGCAGTATGATCCAAATTGCGTTGACGACTGCTTTCTCCGACACGCCTGCCGCTAGGGACTTCACTTCCTGTAAAATAGAATAGACGGGGTTATCCAATATGATAACCATCGGATGGCCACCCTGGGGGGATAGATTGGAAAAGTGTATACGTTTGGACATACGTTTCCAAGAATGTCTATTCTGAAGTGGCATATTGGAAAACCCCGAATAGACATTTTGGTACACGTAGTGCATTATGCTATATTCTAATGTAGTACGTGGTACGTAGGTAGCGGAACACAATCGCTCGACACCAGAAAGAGTTTGGCGTACCCACGTATCGCGCCGGTTTGAATAGGCCCTTCTTGGACCGATGATTGACAGTATGCCTGTTTCGGAAAGCCCAGCTTTAGACGTGTTTTTATAAACGTAAGTACGATATTTAGGCTACAGATACTCGTAGCGTATACTATCATTATCTATCACTGTTGAAATTAATAATAGGAATACATACATCTTCGCTCAGAACGGGTCGTACGAGTAGCAGCTTGATGAGTACCAGACTCTCGCTTTGGTCGGTCGCCTTCAGTAGATGCTGTAGATACTCGTAGTGGATACTGTGATTGTTACTTTTGAATATACAGGGTGTCCCGGTTATAGTGGTCCAAATAGAATATCTAGGCTCTGGACATCCTAAGCTACCATACTAGCAATAAAAAATGTTCAATATTTGAAGAAAAAAAATGGACCTCCCATACTAATTTTGCTGCCTGATAGAGCATTTTGTATTAAAGGTCGATTTTTTCCTTCATATATATTGAACATTTTTTTTGCTATTATGGTAGCTTAGAATGTCCAGAGTATAGATTTTTTGTTTGGACCACGATAACCGGGACACCTTGTATTATTGATAGGAATACATACATCTTCGCTCAGAACGGGTCGTACGAGTAGCAGCTTGATGAGTACCAGACTCTCGCTTTGGTCGGTCGCCTTCAGTAGATGCTGTAGATACTCGTAGTGGATACTGTGATCGTTACTGTACTGTTTTTTTTTATGCACTCACAGTGCTATATTATTCTCATAAATTGAAAATGAGATGTCGCTTGATCGTAGCTTCGAGACGAGTATCAAGAGGTTGAGAAATTCATCACGGTCCGCTAGGCGCCCGTAGCTCAGTTGGCTGAGCGATAGGACGGTATCCCACGGTCCGGGTTCAAGTCCTGGCGGTCGCTAATGATTATTTAAATTTTCTCATTTTGAATTTATGATTGTTACTGTTTAAAATATCAATAATAGTAATACATACATCTTCGCTCAGAACGGGTCGTACGAGTAGCAGCTTGATGAGTACCAGACTCTCGCTTTGGTCGGTCGCCTTCAGTAGATGCTGTAGATACTCGTAGTGGATACTGTGATTGTTACTGTATTGTTTTTTTACTACACTCACAGTGCTATATTGTTCTCATAAATTGAAAATGAGATGTCGCTTGATCGTCGCTTTGAGACGAGTATCAAGAGGTTGAGCAATTCATCACTGTCCGCTAGGCGCCGCCCGTAGCTCAGTTGGTAGACCGGTGGGACGGTATCCCACGGTCCCGGGTTCAACGCGACCGGCGGTCGCTAATGAATTTTTCAATTTTCTCATTTTCAGTTTATGATAGTTACTGTAGAAAATATTAATAATAGGAATACATACATCTTCGCTGAGAACGGGTCGTACGAGTAGCAGCTTGATGAGTACCAGACTCTCGCCTTGGTCGGTCGCCTTCAGTAGATGCTGTAGATACTCGTAGTGGATACTGTGATTGTTACTGTGGAGAATAGAAATTATTATTAAAAAATAGTTATGGTTCTTAGCAAAAAAACTGTTTTTGCCGCTTTGCTCAGTTAGAAATCATTCTGAATGATCCCATCCGAGGAAATGAAAAATGCATTCACTGGATTTCAAGATGGCGGACTTTCGTTTTTTGTATGGCTCTAAAATAAATCTTCTGGATCCTATCGTGTTGGGTATCAAATGAAAGAGCTACACGAGACAATTTCAAAAATATATCGTATTAAAACATTTTAGTTGCACTTTTAGAATAAAAACATGTTATATTTTTAAAGGTAGTCAAAATATGCCAAGTTTGGGGTCTAGTAGGTAAAACCAGGGTTCATCGGGTTGTTGGATGACTCAGGTACTCCACACAAAGAGAGACAAAATATGTAGGTACTTACTACTACTATAACAGCCACAATAAAGTCCACTGCTTAACATGGGCCTTCCCTAGTAGGGGGGTATTTGCCATACTCACCACGCTTGGCAGGCGAGTTGGTGAGCGCAATGCAATATGTTGTAATGCGATTACGAAATTCATCCAAGCATTGAACCCCTGGATGAATTTATCCCTTATTCGCCTCTTACGACACCCACGGGAAAGATATGAGGTGATGACATTCTAAGTCGGCATCACACGGCAAATCAGGTATGTACTTACGCATCTTTAATAGGAGGCCAGCATATCAGCAAATCAACCAAAAGTTTCTTCCTGTGCCAAGTATCAGTCAGCTTGATGAATTTGAAAAACACTTCACGGCGACCTTCATCAGTAGATAGCTTATCTTCTGTAAAAAAGAAAAACATTTCAAGTTAGTACAGAATGTCCATAGCACAGATTAGGGAAACGGCGCGCGGGCGCCCATTTTGGGAAATAAACGTATCATTCATATACAGATGGCTCACACAGTACTAGCGACGATATTGACGCAAACTGACTTTACCTGAAAAAAAAAACTGTAATCGCAAGGGAGCTCAAAAGTAATTAAGAAGATGATTGCCACTAACGTTACATTTCTTGGATATTAGCTAGCTATGTAAGAAGTGACAATCACAAAATCTTAAATAGAGTCAAGTGAACCTTCTGTGAACACTCTATTTTGTGATAGTAGAGTTGCGGACCTATCGCTAGAGCTGCCATCGATAGTTTTCATTAGAAAAACCCTATACCATCGATAAGCCTATCGATTTAAAAACAATCAATACTATCGATAGCATGAGGCCTTTATTGACAGTAAAAAACAAAACTGGTACTCAGTAAAATAAACTGAAAGATGGCGCTGAGCCAATGTCGGCGCGTTGCAAGAGCACAAAATCATGTAGCAAAAGGAAGTGGCCATGTTTTATGACCAGCCGCTTGCCTGACTTAATCCCTCTTTGGGAATGCTATTGTAGGTGGTATCACCGCCACCATACGGTTGGCCATAGCCGACAGATATTCAGCCGAGATCAAAAATTCTACGTCGCCTTTTACGAAACACCCTGAGTGGACTAGAGGTGGCAGTATCGCCAGCCACTACCACACGGACTACACTCTCACTGTTACTATATACAGGGAGTAACAGAAAGGGTATAACAAGTCGAAAGGAGGTCAAGGTACTCATGAAACTGAACAACTTTCCCCATGAAACATGGGTCGAAATATAAAAAAAAATTTGGACCTCCCATACAAAATCGCCGATCAGTTAATTGATTTACTATGTGGGAGGTCCAATTTTTTTTTTCATATTTCGACCCATGTTCCATTGGGAAAGTTGTTCAGTTTCATCTTGACCTCTTTTCGGCTTCTTATACCCTTTCCGTTACTCCCGGTATACAGTTAGTATATTGATTTGCTTTATGCTGTGGTGGTAGACCAAACTAAGCCAAACTTTCCAAAGTTAACAACTTACTAACGAAACTACAGAAATAAACTAAACTTACCATTCAACTCCTCATCATCATCATCATCTTCATCAACGTTCAAATCGGGCCACTCGTTCTTCAACACTTCGAGCGTGTACTGTGCAAACTTCACCATGTCCCCGCAATCCTGCACCCTCTCCTTTTGACTCAAGGCGAGCAAGCCGATCTGTTTGTGCGGCGGTAGGCCGTGAAATAAACTAAACTTACCATTCAACTCCTCATCATCATCATCATCTTCATCAACGTTCAAATCCGGCCACTCGTTCTTCAACACTTCTAGAGTGTACTGCGCAAACTTCACCATGTCCCCACAATCTTGCACCCTCTCCTTTTGGCTCAAGGCGAGTAAGCCGATCTGTTTGTGCGGCGGTAGGCCGTGTTCTACGGCCAACGTCTCGACTTTGTCGATGAAGGCGTCTGTGAACCGGACGCCATCTTTGTGGTACTGCGAGATGCGAGCCACCAGGAGTTCGAGGTCGCTGTAAAGGGTTGAAATGGGTAGTCTGTAGTATTTCTTTATTATTATTTGGGTGAAAGTGGTTGGTACCGGAAACACCAACATCCACTGCGACCTTTGCAGTTCTATTGTGGCTGTTGTCTGCAGTAAAAGTTTTAGGAGTATTTACTTCAAAACTAACAGTTTTCATAGAAATACAGCATTGCTGGTTGGCGCATGGCATGTAGGTCTGATGAGTCAGTTACAATATAAAAAAATGCATGTCTTGACCCTCGCAGAGGAATCAATATTCATACTCGCATAATATATAGTACGAGTAGTGGAGCAGTGTGGTATTTAACTCGCCTTTTTACGTCAAATGTCGGGCTCGTAATACGTGCAGTAATGGTGTATCGTAAAGTGGCTTCTTGCTTCTTTTAAATGCAAAATGACGAGTTCGCTTCGGTCGCAATAAGTGCAATGTAGCTTCCCGTTTTCGTTTGTCATTCGATTCTTTAAGAAGAAGACCAAAACTGCTAGCAACCCTAGCAAACACTTATTGCCTAACCGTGTTGTGGATCTTTGGAACACTCTCCCAGAAGTAGTGATTAGTGCACCGAGTGTGAACAGTTTCAAAACTAGGCTAGACCAACATTTAAACAGTGATCTATAAAAAAAATAAGGCACAAGTGCAGCTCAAAAGAGCTGCTAGTGTATTACTAAGTAATAATAATAAGAATGTAAATACACGTACGTGGAATTAGTAATGCCTGTCTTGGCAACATGCTCGAACACATTCTCCACGGTCGCATTTACATGTAGACACTGTAGCACGGTAGACAAAGATGATGAAGAAGAAGAAGAAGAAGAACGTAAATACACGTACGTGGAATTAGTAATGCCTGTCTTGGCAACATGCTCGAACACATTCTCCACGGTCGCATTTACATGTAGACACTGTAGCACGGTAGACAAAGATGATGAAGAAGAAGAAGAAGAATGTAAATTCACGTACGTGGAATTAGTAATGCCTGTCTTGGCAACATGCTCGAACACATTCTCCACGGTCGCATTTACATGTAGACACTGTAGTACGGTAGACAAAGATGATGAAGAAGAAGAAGAAGAAGAAGAAGAACGTAAATATACGTACGTGGAATTAGTAATGCCTGTCTTGGCAACATGCTCGAACACATTCTCCACGGTCGCGTTAACATGCAGGCACTGTTGCACGGTAGACTAAGATGATGATGATGAAGAAGAAGAAGAACGTAAATATACGTACGTGGAATTAGTAATGCCTGTCTTGGCAACATGCTCGAACACATTCTCCACGGTCGCGTTGACATGGAGACACTGTAGTACGGTAGACATGGCCGATGCCTTCAGATCCCCCTCTAGTAGGAGACGACTCAACGTGTGTATTACTTTGTCCGTGTCGCCGTGACTCATTTCAAGTCGCTGTGAATGAATAAGAAATTTCATGAAAATATTGATTACAAAATCTGTCAAATCAAAATGTAGTCTGAAATAATTTTTATAGAAGACATTGAGTCCGTTATATATATAAGGTCCTATTAAATTCAATGCAAATATTTTAGGGGCAGATCAAATAAAATATAAACATGTACTAGGCAAATTTTTAAAGAAATCTACACGCTAGTTTTCGAGAAAACTGCATTTAACAAAAAAACGAAACGCAAAAAGTGCACCCTGTTTGTCCTAGAAACACACACTTCGATGAATTTAAATTACGCGCCAAACGCGCCGTGCTGTGATTGGTTGGTTGTTAGTGTGCGCGCCGTGTAAGTGAAACATGTTTACATGGCGGAACGTCAGTCGGGTCAGTCAAAGGGTGTTCACATAATTAATTAAAAGTTTGTTTGAAAATGAAAAAAAAAATCTAGCGTGTAGATTTTTTTAAAAATGCCTTAGATGTTTTTCCTATAAATATTTACGCATGCCCTTAAAATATTTGCAGTGAATTTAATAGGACCTTATAATGAGAGGGACGGTTTATCTTTCCTGTGATTGGTCGCACTTAGGTATATAACACACTTTGCTTATTTATTTATTTTATTAAATAAATGACACCCCAAATAAAAGCATCACCTGCGATGCGATGCGATTACTAGACGAGTCCAGGAATATTTATTTATACATATTATCATAATAATCTCCCAAGCAGGTCGTTTGTAATATTACGGTGACAGTTGTAAGGAACGATCAAGTGGTTGAGTGGGTACTTACGGCCATATGTCATTTTTGTCCATCTTACTGTGGTCTATGACGTTCTGTACGGTGATCGAGTGGAAGTTCTCGAGGAATCGCGCCCAGCGAGTCAGCTCTTGCCCCACTTGCGTTTAGCGAAATATAATGAAATATATGTTACAAAGAACGGCCAAGTAATTCAATGGGTACTTACGGCCATATGTCATTTTTGTCCATTTTACTGTGG